CGGAAGAAGATTTTGCGCTTGAACAGGATGTTTCACGCAAACTGCTCCCCAAGTGGTTTGGACCATGGACCGTCCTTTCAGCCGCAGGTGACGAGCCGGACGGCCCATCTTTTGTGATTGACATCCCCCCGCATCTGTCGGTCCATCCATTCTTTCACGCCTCAAAGATGGCAACATATACACCGGCTAAGAGCGACGATTTCCTGGGCCGACAATCGCAAGACCCTCCGTCTATGGATGGTCATCAAGAAGTCGACCGCGTCATCACGGATCGCATGTACGGCAACAAGCCTCGACAGTACAAGTTTCCCTTCAAAGCATGCGATCCTGACGACACTCGATGGATTTCACAAGCAGATTTGCAAGCATCCGCACCTCTAATCTACGCTCACTACGAACGACAGAGACTAGCTAAGGAAGCTTCATGACCTGCCCCTCCCACCCGGACTTTGATCCCTCCCTCCGACAGGCAGCTTCCCCCTCGCAGGTAAGCTCGGTCTTTCAAGGAGGGCGGGGTGTGGCGTGGCACAGGCCCGACCAGGCAGAATAAGGGCCCTCCAGGCCCTGTGTCGTTTGTGCCTATAAGCATAAAAAGGAGGGCCAATTTTAGGCTGTCATAAAGTCGACCTTTCTTGGGATAAACACAGGCCACTTTTAGGCCCGTTTCAAGGCAACCCTTTTTTGAACTTCAGCGCCAGGGTCTGGCACGATTCGGCATTGGAAAGAGCAGCCTCCCACTCGGACCAGCACTATATAGTACTGGTTCGCCCAGGAGGCAGCAGGCAGGCAGGAGCCAGTGCAGGAGGCTTCGGATTCGGCAGCAGCTCGCTGCAGGCGCGCTGCAGTAGTAGTACCTAGCGATAGGAGTATTCTTCAGCGCTGGGCTCTAGGATCTTAGAGTAGCGTTGGGAGAGAGGGAAGTGGCGGAGACCAGGGAGACTTACTTGGGCGCTTACCTGTGGCGCCATAGCCCCAGCTTCGTCTTCGATGTACCTGCAACAAGGCGCCACCTTCACAGGTTAGTACCTGGCTCGAGAGAGAGAGGGAGAGAGAGAGAGAGAGAATAAGAGAATAAGAGAAAGGCGAGAAGAGCACACGGAAGAAGAAGAAGAAGAAAGCATTCAGAAGAAATGCACAGAGCGACCCCCGACCACTGACTAGATTAAGTCCCGATTCCGAAAATCTTTCATACTCAAAAAACATCCATACAAGTACGCACGCCCCTACGCGTTTCACCGCTCGCGTACACAACGGATCATCAGGGGGCAAAAAATACCAACTCAGAACGAACCGGGATGCTTCTGTCCTCGGGCCACCCTTCTTTTTATACACCCGGTGCGCACCCTGATCAGCTATTACATTCCTACGAAGCCGAGTATCCTGAGTCCTATACCTATCCTAATCCTATCATGGCCTATGCTTCCCTCGTCTCTCTCTCTCCCGATCTGCACCTCCCTTCCCTCCTTTTAACTTTTTCCCTTTTTTTCTCTTTTTCTTATTTTTCCTCCTCTTTTTCCTCACTCTCTCTTCGAGACCCTTCACGCGTCCTCTCCTCAATACCTTCCCGTCACCTGCTTCGTATCTTCCCCTCATCTTGCATTCCATACTTACCTCCATCGATCTCCTGATTACTATCGTGCGCGTGATCGAGCCGCCCACGCTCTRCATCTTCGTCGTACGTCCTTTGCTAAAATTCACAACGCGTTCTTCTCTAATGCTCCGAAGAGGCTAACTCTTTCAATCCTCCAGCGGCTGATCCCCATCGTCTTCCTCCATACTGTCTCTGCAGTCCTTCCCCCGCCATCCGCTCCTCCCGTAATAGCTCGCATCTTCCGCCTCCAACCCCATCGTACTATTTTTTCCCTCTGATACACTTTTTTTGATCTCTCTCACTGCCTGCTTGGAGTCCGAGATCCTCTCGAACCGCTGCTAATCGTGTCATCTGACCACGAAACCCACTTTCGACTTCCTAGCGGGACCCGGTCCCACTTTTCAACAGGGCCTATTCCTGGTAAGTACTCCCCTCTTCCTTCTACTCGACAAAAACCCGACCTGGAGTCCATCTACAAAAACCGCTCGTACTATTCGGACCCAGATCTTTCCAAAATCTTCTTTTTCTTTTTTCTACCCCCTAAATCCAAAAGACCACATCCCTCTTAACCTGCCTATATCACTACCTATATTTTTCCTATTATTTTACACACCTCGGGGACCCATGTATCCAACGAGTCCGGGACTCCGCGGGGAGATAATCCCCCCACGGACCTTCGGACACTCTGGCGAACCTAGCCAGAGCCCCGAGAGAGACCTCCGGGGGGTATCCCCCGAGGTTGACTTCAATCATCAAAGCTGCTAGTGACGCTTTCAATGCCTCGTCCGAACTTAACATCTGCTTCATGCGAACCAATGTGGGATACAAAACGGCTTTTTTCACTGCTTTCCTGGAGAAAGAAGCATAATCCTGCATGGACTGGACCCTCAACCCCCCTCCTGTGAGAAGACAATCCCGGTTCCTTGTTCGAGGATGAACGCTGATCTCCACGGGTTCCACATCAGCGAATATGCGAGTACCTAGAAAATCAAACACATTGCCTCCCTCATCTTTGCGCACAAGCTTGATGTT